CTACACAGCCATATGAAAATCGATCCACAAAGTTCAATTCGAGTTTGCTCCTTTAGCACCAGTTTTCTACACTATCCATTCTCTCGCCCACCCTATTGACTCTCCAGCTCAGGTGTTTCGTTTCAACCGATATTAGTGATACTTTAAAGTTTTTCGTGTGTAATTCGTATAATTTTGAACATATGCACCATTTTCAAGTTCATCAGTGAGTTAATGTAGCGGCTACATTCGAGCGTGTGGATTGTAAAACAGTTTACGACTGCGGCACCATTAATAGGTAGGCTACTGTCGAGGTGCGAAGAAACTCCCTAGGTACCTACTGCAAGAGCCGCAGAGGTCGCGGGACAATACATTGTGCTGGCTAGCTGAGCTGAGGAGCCAATAGGGTGGGCGAGAGAATGGGAAGGGTAGAAAAGCGGTGCTAGAGGTGCAATTTCGAATTGAATTTTGTGGATCGATTTTCATATGACTGCTTAGCGTTTTGAATAGATTCAAACCATGGAGGTTTTCGGATGTTTACTTTAGATGCAAAAATCAACATTTTGTCTACTTTGCTTTGAGGCGATATCTGGAGCCTATATATAGTCCGAGGGCCCAGATAAGTTACGGTTTTTTCCAGTCAGTGGTCGTTCACAAAGAGTTTAGTATGTATACTCCTGGAACAGTGCATAGCTCCTCCCTGATAATCGGAAATTTCACTTGAAAAAGCAATAAACCCTATGCTCTTCTTAAAAACATGGCGCGTACAGGATTTTGAACGATGATATAACGTATTCTTTTTAACTCAAAGCACTAGTTTTCAAGTTATGTAAAAGTAATTTTTCTGGAGAACAGGTCCACCATTTCCTAAAAAAAGAAGTCAGCTAGTGTTGGCTATTCTCCATCTTGAAAAGCCTCTGTCACTTAAATTAGGCCCATGCTGAAATCCATCCATTTTGGAGAAAACTGGTACCGAAGTGATCAGGACGATCTGAGAAATACCATGGTCTTATTCTCACCTGATTCCGTAAAATATTAGCTACTCCACGTTTCACAGGCTACTTTTAGTAGAAGAGAATGTCCTCTGGTTATAGTTATGGCAGGCGTCGCTGCTAATGACGTACCCTTAGGAACTTTGATGAATGGGGACTTCAAAATCAAACTTTTCAAAATTTCAAATAATCCTTGTTATAGAGCGCGAGGAGTTGAGTTCAACCGTATAGCACATTATATACAAAAGCTGTGAATCAACCTAGTCATAGAGAAGAAACGAAAAAAACGCGAAAGCGCGTTTTTTTGGTGTTTTTTTGAACATTTAGGGTGGGTATTGTAGTGTTCTGGCGATATTTTCTGAAGATGTTATTGCTTTTTTTCTCATCTGATATCAGCGAAGGATACAAATCTGTGGTAGTGCAAGTGCAACTTGCAGCAAATCATAACAGGCCTTCAAATGCATGAGTTGATGTTTACTAATCTACAGTTAATAACGAGAATGAGTCCTTTTGATTCTTCCGATAAAAGCGATTTGACGACGGCCTAACCCGATCCTTCTTACTATTTTATCCGTTTAATCGATCAGTCTAAAGTCTTTTGGTTTATGGTCTTCAACTTTGACTATGGACCAGCTGAGCTGCTTTCGAGCCATCTGCCAATTACTTTCAGTTGACTCATTTTCAAAATCTACCTCTTGCTTGAGCACTTCTATAGTCCTTTATGGGCTCATCTCAGCAGTCCATCATTTTATTGCGCTTTACTTTACTTCATGAGTTTTTGTTGAGAAAACGAAAGTTTCTATTGAAAGCAGATCTGCCCACCATGGGAGGAGCTTCACTGGGCTCCCCCATGCATGGTACACCTTGCTCACACTTTGCTCAATCGAACAATCTTTCTTGCCGTCAGGCCTTTGTGGAAGCAAGTTCTTATTTGCGTAGGAAGTACCGCCCACTTCGGACTCGGCTCCGCCCACAGTGGATAATCCAGATGTATCTGATTTGTTAACTTTTGCACAAAAACAAATCTCTGCACATTTTTCTCCGGTGTCTGGACTTATATAAGGCTAGAACAAAGTTTTGCCTTGGTTGTCCCGCCTACTCTGGTACATGCCCCGCTCCCTGCAGACTTAATGCCGCTAAGCTCATGTGCTCTGTCGATCCTTCGCTAGGTCTAATTTTTCCCGACCCTTATGGGTGTCTTCAGGTAATCCCGAAATTTGGACAGACAAACAGACAGACAGACAAACAAACGATCAGACACTTGAATGATCCAGATTTCAGCACTAACGGTGATTTCGTCTAGTCGATAATTCATAAAGCCTTCTATATCAACCACAGACCTACTTCACTAGACAAAAAGCATTCCCTGCATGTGTCTGTATTGAACAGACGCCATGGGTATCATTCAGACTGTCGCTGTTCCTTTTGATACAGAGCTTCATAGCTTGGAAAAATTCCTCTCTTTCTTTTCCTACCCTAGGTATTACATACATTCTTTACGGCTTTTCTGCTACATATACACACCAGTCGGATCGCCCAGCTAACGCCGGGCTCTCCTCCTTCTTATGTAAAGCCCGGCTACGCCGGGCATCCCCCTTTTAATGTAATAGGGACATAGATTTGTACAAACAATCTGGCATTTCCTTTCGATCAATATAAAATGAAACTATTTTATTCTAATAATGACTAACACTTTTTATGACTAAGAATCTTTGTGACCTGAGTTCATACATTACAAAAATTTTGACTCACTTAAAAGAATCAGACTTAGTGAGACGGTCGAAATTGCTTCACACCCGCGGAAGGATAAATTTTCTTACCTTGCCTTGCCAAAGAAAATAGCCTTACAGCCTTAAATACCTTACAGAAGTATAATGGCATTAGGACCATAATAATCATGTGACGCTTATTTCTTTGAAACTTCCGTTTCACATGAAAAGTTATAATTCAGTATGAACCGTGCTTCCAGTTCAGTGAGAACCGCATCATCCCGGAAGTATCGTCTAGGTGAGTTCAAAAAACGCATGTTTGAAAACAGATACCGTTCCGGAATTTTGGTTTAAATTGGGGTTAGATTTACCGATGCAGCCTTTTCAAAAAAATTTTAATTCTGCCGAGAGCGCCAGTTTCACACTTCACCACACCGCATAGATTAGCCAGAGCCAATGATGCCTTTAGTTCTGCATGAATCTGAATTCCGATGCCGAAATCTGCGTTGATGGTCGTTAGGGATATTCACGTAAGGCAGACCTCTTGAAAATTTCGGATCAACAGAAGAACTGATAATCCTTTCAACCACTCTACCCAAATGCTCTTTTTGGGAGCATCTACAGTTAACACAATCAGTTCTGTAAGAACCACCATTTTCAGTGGGCATTCACCTGGGGGTGTCTCGAAAATCGTATGTTTGATGTACATACCGTTCCGAAATTTTTGCTCGAACTCAATTGCCAGATTTACTGATGATCTATTCCTTGCTGAGAGATTACCAAAATCTGCACGCATAAATGGTACCGCGTCTTCTTTTCATTCAGATGTCAGTTGCAACAAAACTAATTCAACCACCAAAATATGGAAATCAGCAGGATGGGTCATGGTCTTTTGATAGTGGTGTTAACAACAGTCGAGAACAATAATAAAAACCATTCAAAATTTCTTTCAGGTTTTGTTGGTCTAGGTTGATGAGTCATAGAGAAAGCGATGTGGAGCTAACAAAGAAAAGAGGGTAACCATCAACGGTGTTATGATCCTGAGATCCTTAGTTGATGATACTTTTCTATACAGAAATGCTGGAGGGGGAAAGGGCAGTACGCAATGGAACTCAATATGTTGTGTCTCTTACGCTCCGATAAATAAATTCAAAAGAAAATGACGGGTCAGCCGATCGCTCCCACTTTGCCTTAGGAGCGAGGGGAATTTTCACTGCGCGTTATTAGACTGAAATAGTGAAATGAGAAGAGAATGAAGGAAGAAAAAATGAAAAAAAATGAATGGGGTAGCCTTGTACAGTGTCAGTAAGAAGTCCCAGGGTCGCATTACTGGCTTCACTATATACTCACTACATTACGCAGAACTCACTACACTCCATTAACCTACCCACCCATTTACTGATTTATATGTAAAGAAGGAAATGTAAGAGTTTCATTGAGAGAATGGGTTTTACATATCACTACCTATCATACCTTTATCGTAATCATGAACGTTTGCGGACGGACACACCGACATACCGACATACCGACAAACCGACATACCGACAAACATACAAACCGCCAAACCGACACACCAAGTTTCTGCTTTATAAATGAGAGAGATTTTATACTACATTTATATTTTATTTTATACAGGGTTCAATCACCTGAGATTTTTTAAAGACATACTTATCACGATGCTAGCTTAGTTCCAAACCACAGTTTTCAAGTGACCACTCCACTCCGCATCACTCGCTTCACTACTCAGTACTCACTCTACTCCACTAACCCACCCACCACGTTACTACCCTACGCATAAGAAGGAAATGTAAGAGTTAGGCTTTCCATATCACTGCCTTTATCGTAATCATAATGTTTGCGGACGGACACACCGACAGACATACCGACAAACCGACACACCAAGATTCTGCTTTATAATAAGAGAGATTGCGCTCAGTGATAAAGAGAAGCTTCGAATGATTAGAGAATATACAGGTTGACTCGAGTGGAACACCGTAATACTTCATGATAATAAATTATACAACGTTCATTTTGGTTCAGTAGTCCTTGAGATCTATCTCGAACGTAGAGTGCGGTTGTTTTTCGGGAGCAGCAGGATCTAGTGTTGTGCCACCGGCTACAGCCTGCAAAAATGATTTGAAACAAATTACACATAGAAGTTACAAGCTTGCAGCACCGAACGCGTAATACTCGTCCATGAATGAACTTACCTGAACCACTAGCTCTGCTTTCTGATCTGGTGTTCTATCGAGTAACATGATTATGCCGCCGTAAGTGATTGACTTCACAGGTTTGTACCTTAAAACATTAAGAGGGATCTTCAGGAAAAGGAGTCAAGGGATTACTGAAAATTGTTAGCATTAAATTACTCTAGTGTTAACCCGGAACTATGTTCAGTGAAACAAGCGTTCATTTGATAGAATTGGAAAAATTATGAATGTAAAAGATAGAGTTCGCTTGTTGGATGTTTCAAACACATGCCTCCCCAACCAATAGCACGTCAAATTGTTTGAATTTGACCTAACATTCACTTTGAAATGTTTTATGATGGTGTTTGTGGATCTCATAGCTTTGTAGTACTCCTAGGTTGATGAACGACAATCTGATTGTTCACGCTCAGTGCTAATGTTTGGATCTCGAAAATAGACAGCTAATTGTGAAAGAAAGTTGAAATTATCTACCTCGAATTGTCCATCATAGAAAGAGTTTTCAGTTGAAGGCGTACAACTCTAGCAGGATTTTCAATAGTGTGTGTAGGTGGTTCGTTATCTGGCACAGTTTTTCTAAACAGCAAGATCATTATCACAGCAAAACAAATATCTAAGGAAATTGATATAAATCTCAAGACATTCAACTCAGTTGCTGCAACAATGCAACCTTAAATGTCTCTGAACAAATAATGATGCGAACTTCTCTTCTTCCTTCGCTGGTTTTGGTTCCTCATCAACTTCCATCTTCTCTTCACCTTTCTTAGCCGGTTTCTTCTTGTGGGTGATAGAGAGAACGGCGGTTTCTACCTGAACTATGAACAATCACATTCATTTCAATCACCACTTATTAAGACTCTTGAATACGAATAAGTTTGAGTGAAATGTAGCGACTTCGATCAACCTTTTCATGCTCTTCTTTCTTCTTCGACTCAAGAGGTGGAGGGTAGGCGAATAGTGAAGCTCGAGCATTACATTTGAATTCGATCTTAGGCATCTGAAACTTTATAATCATAAGCAATTGACGGGACAATGTGAGGTTCGAAAGGATGACCCGTTTGTAGCAACAGGAGCGATTTCATTTACTAGAAGCGACTGCTACACCCGAACCAAAAGTTGGACACTCAGTCAAAATAGAAGGGAACACTGCACTCCGATTAGGATATTTCTACTTGGATACAACGGTCGCTTCTACAGTTGTCGAGACTGAGTGCGATTGACATAATAAAAAACTTTTACCTGCAGCTGCTTCGTAAGCGCAATCAGACACGTTGGCTTACATGCCAAGGAAATGAAGGGAACCATTGAGTGCCAATACCAGAACTGCTGGAACGCCATCATACCAACTACACCACCCATGTCGATAGTGCCGGAACGATTGTGCAGTGCGATTGTCATGTTACGCCCACCAACATCGAGAATACCCTAGAAAACTGAGTTTACTGCGGTGTAAAAAATGAATTAGTATTATTCGCAAAGGATCTTATGAGTCTTTCGATGCTCTTATAAAACTTTCTGTATAAAATCTGCTGTCGAGTTGATAAATAAGCCCTTATCAACTAATGTTTCGGCGTTATCGACTTATTCAGAATTTGGAAACTCGAAGATTATCGCTATCCATCCTTCATTTAACAGTTAAACTTCGAAAAAGGGTTACCTAGGCCTAGGGTTTCCAAATGGGCATGATGACCTTGAACACATTTAACCCACCTCAATAGACAACCGGTCGTTTACACCGGCCGCTAAATGAACCGAATCATAGGGACTTAGGGGTGGCTTTAGATGATATGCCCTCTCCCTCGCCGTGATACGGGCAAACAACAGAGGCCAGAAGAAGGCGCGAGTTTGCTAGCTGCGGCTAGGCACTCGTCCTTCCTATTCTTTTTGGGGACCAGCAGCTGATGAAAAATGCTTCAAGTGTCTCCCGCATCGAAGTGAAGGACTCTCGCGACAGAATCTTAGCTTAATTTCGAATATACCTTCATGGGACTCTAAGCGCTGTCCACCTTCTCCAAAAGGGGTCTCCACCCTTGCTCGATTTGAGCCCTCCTGATGTTCTTTGACCCTGCGCACAGTGGTCGCCAAATCTCCCAGTATAATCGTCCTCACATAGGTTGCATGTGATCATTTCTCTGTCGAACTTGGAAAATTATCTTTCGATACTGTTATAACGGTTCAACCATGCAGAAATGGTTGTTTTCTTTGCTTGAACTTGGACGAGGTTGATAAAATATTTTATTCCGGCTAACGTTTCGGCGTAGATCGCCTTCTTCAGAGCCTGGAACGATCGAAGCAAACAAGCAACATGCAGAAATGTTCACATGCAATCTATGTATGTGAGGATGAATATACTGGGGAGAGGATGTCGAGGAACATATTCTCAGAGCAGATAATATGAGGTTCTCTTATCATTGCAGAATCGGAGATACACAGATGTCAAATTAAGAAACTACTATTCACTGACACTCTTCAAATGCAAGTGCGAAAAGCATTAACGAGTAGAAAAAACAAAAAATACCTGTGCAATGATCGCTCCGAATTTAGCCATTGAATCTTCACCCTTCTCTGTGGTCATTTTTGTTAGCTGCTTGCGGAATTCGCCAACCTACAGGAAATGCACATTTGAAATTTCTCGCCGAAATAACGCCGTAGATAATATCCAGTAGGCCGAGAAATAACCTTTGGACAACCGACGTCAGTCTGCTGCACATAGATAAATGAAAGTGCAATAACAGCTCCTTGACGAACGTAGTTTTCTTTCGCAGAAAGTAAGGGTTCGAGCAAAGATATCGCTTCCTGCAAATCAACAAAAGATGTGCATCATAGAGACAAGGGATTATAACAATTGGACACCACAGACTGCAATGACCTTGTATCCTGTACCAGCGCAAGCAATTCCTAAAGCCATAGCAGCACCGTAACGAACATGACTATTAAAATGCTCGACAAGCATGCCAACATAATCTTTACAGATGGCAGGGTTGCTGAAACAAAACCTCTTATAGACTACTGACACTAGGTAAAAGTAAGCTCACTTGCTCAACAGGAACCCAATGCCCATCACAGCGAATCTTTTTACATCGTTATTAGGGTCCGTGGCCACCTTAAAAAAAGCCAGCGTTATAAGTATATTAACAGGTTGTTCAAAAAGAACTTGCTGAAGATTCAACTGAGCCTTTTTGCTAGATAAATCTAAATATCAGACCGTTCAAAAGGTTAGCAAGAAAGGCTCTTCTCCGTATATAAAATTTGGAAAGGTCTACATGATGCAAACCTTCTCCAAGAGTCTCGATACAACGTTTGCACGTCCACTCCCAACGTAAGCCATCGACATCATTGCTATCCCTGTCGATCGCAACATGGCGTTGCTCTTCACGTCAACCAGCTGAGCTATGTAGGATTCGGCTTCATCTTGTCGACCTGGAATGAATCTTTCCAAAAAATCACACTGAATGAACAGGGAAACTCTCATATCAAATGAAAAATGGCACTCATAACATTTATTTACAACGTATTCCGCCTCACTGACAAAGGTTTCTACTTAAGTGCTAGACTTGCATCCCTATGAAATAAAAAAGCATAAGAACTTTTTCGGGAAAAGAACAGCGGGCCATTTGCGAGCAGGTGTGTAGAACTGATGAATACCTTTGCAAGGCTGATTGAAATTTCATAATTCTCGCTAGACCTACACTTATACATCCCAAAAATATATTTATATCGTCACAAATATCTGCCAGCATCGTCAGAGCCAGTACATTCTGGCGAAAGTATTCATTTCAAGAAGTATATTCCTTCAAAAAAGCCAGGTGTGTATCCACTTGGAATTTTGAAACCAAAAGATTCCAAAAAGAATATCCTCACTTTATATGATTTAATGGTTCATAAAAAAGTGTCAAAAAGTAGAAAATAGCTGAACGAAACAAAAAAGCAACTGTAGTCCAAATGTGGACTAATCGCATCGGAGTAGGTAAAAAACATTGCGAAGGCATAACTGTTTATTACCCTACTACCCTACTGTACTGAACTACTTTAATGAATGCCTGTTATGTTTGCCATCGCCTTTTGCGATCTTACGGACTGTATTCTGTACTCCAGTAGCAACATTCAACACGCGATGGAAAGGCTAATGCTCGGGACACCCGATACACCCAGACGCAATGAGGAAATCGGAGGTCCGAGCTTTTAATGGAAACCAGGGACCATGTTTCTTACTACAAGGAGGGTATACGAATATTTTAACTGTTGAGGACACTTCGCACCTCGGTGCAAAGCGATCTCGATTTGGCATGGAGATTCCATGATCATTATATTGTCCTCATATCGTTATTCAGCGAAAAATAGATAAACTTCCGAGGGAATTAGAAAAGTAAGAAAGACAAGCGTCTGGGAGAATCATGCTTTTATATGGCGAAACTTAAACATTATTGGCTAAAAATTTATTCTCGTCCACAGATGAAATGTGGAATGTGGGCGGAGCGGAATATCACCCCACTTGTGCATACCCATTTCTCCTGCAAATCTATTGAATATATTCATTTTGTTCAAAAACTAAACTTTTTACCAGTCTCCCTGGATTTTTCTAATGTTGTCGTTTTCTTCAAATAACAACTTTTTCATGCCTTCGAATATTCATATTCGAGAACTAAGTTGTGATCGTATCTTAGCCGATGAACAAAAAAAAAATAAGGATGACATTGCTTTTACCCCAACAAAAAAAACTTTTGTACCAATAAGAAAGTATCATAGAGTTCATATACATCATAACTCCTGTCCCTCAAAAAACGGTGCTCTACAACATTCGCGACAAATGCAAAGTAGTTGACATTTAAACATTTTGATTTTGAACTTACCATAGGCCAGCAGGGAGATTCCAGTACGTAATCCACGTTGAATCTTGTCGTGCTGAGTGTCGCACGTATACTGCACCATATCTTGGAACGCAGCTGCATTCAAACTGCCAACCATAACAAGCCCCATTGCCAGCCCAGCTGCCTCTCCCGAAACAGCGTCATCCAGATAGAGAGCGTCACGAAGTTGTAGGTATACCTAAGATGTGTGAGGCATTATGTGATTAAGGTGATGGTGATCACATCATACATCTTGGTTTTGTGTTCCCATAGCGGCTAGTCCTAGCCCAAGACATGCTCCATGACGAACTGCTGACGTCTGCGCGGCCGACAGCTGCTCCCGAAGGTATTTCACACATTCCGCCGTCCCGTGGTTTGCGTGAATGAGACCTATAATCAAGATCACATCGCTGACGAAAGACAAAAGCGACGAATAATGTAACTGCAAAACGGCATTTTGAAAGTGGTTACAAAGTAGCTCCTTAGAATTGAATTATCGCAAAGCCGCCACGCTTGCCCAGGATTTCAATAACTAGACCACTGACATATTTTAAAGCAAGCTTATAGGACGTTGCTTGATTAACGAGCTTGTTTTGTTGCTATCGTTCTGCTCGGAGTGAAACGGAGAATAAAACGGAGTACGAAAAGTTAGAGATTGTGAACGTTGCTGTCATACCCAGGGCGAACAGTGAACCGCCTTCCTTGAATCCGTATTGATCAGGCTCAGTTTTGGGAAGATACGGGTCGAGCAGTTTCATCGCTGCCGATTCATGACCCTGAAAAAACATCTTTCAACAAACGAGAAGTTCTATCACATAGACTAAAATCTGTCAAAGTCTCCCATTAGTTATTATTCTTTGATTGAAAGAAGGCATGTGAGTTTCAAACAAATTGTTCAGACGAAAAGAGAAGGCTTTACCTTGTGAATCAGTCCCAAAGTTGCTACAGCATTAAATTTGTTCCAGTTTGTAGCTTTGCTAATCCAGTCGAGATTGTCTCTGGAACCTTCCGTTTAAAAACAAAGAGCAATGAAACATTGAAAGTCTTAGTATTCGGAACATACCGCAAAAAATCATCACATGTTGTGCCTAGATGCATCAGACCGTTCGCCATCAAAGTAGCGTTGTGTGCTGTAGCCGTTCTCACACAATCCTTCATTTCCTACACACAAGACGTACACGTACAAAAAAAATGTACAATAATGGTGTCTACCCAAAACTAGACCACCGCAGACGATATTCCAACATCTACAAAATGTTCTGTTTTCATTTGCTTTTATTGCGAATCCACCCCTCTTTGAGGTCCGCGGTCAGAAGCATCAGGAAAAGTCTTCACCGAAAGGATACGAAGAGATAGAACACGAATGAATGGTCAGGAATTTTTTTCACTAAAGGTGCACGGGTGTAGATCCAAAAAATGGTGCTGTTTCGAGGGGAAAGGGATCAACAGCAGCTGCAAAAAAAGTATATAAGCCATAAAGAAAGTGAGGGCAAGCGGGTTCTCGGTAGTGTAAAGGATAAAGAGCGCGGTACCCGGGCAGCACAAGCACGTATTCAAAAACCAACCGAAGTCGAAGTATTGTCTACAAATCGACATACTTGTGAGACTTTCGCACAGCGTACTACAGAAAAATAACAGCAGTTGATAAGAACATCAAGTCAAAATTCGACCAGTCATCTAACAATTAAGCGCTCTCCTTTGCCCTGTGCTACTTCGGAACGCCATAGCACAAAAGGAGGTTAATTTCCGACAGTCGACGACTTTTCCACAAGATTTACAAAGTAAGCATGAACGAAAAGTCTACTAAAAAACGCTTACCTTCAAAATTAACATATCTGTGTGGTTGTTTTTGATGAGGAACTGCATGTGATGCTTTACAGTCTCTTCACCGCGTAGAATCGCCTTCAAACGCGCCATTGGAGCCGACTGAAACTGATTGCTACTACTAGTGGATTTCGTGACTCATTTTCATAGTCCAAAAAATTAGTTGATATCCCATGACTTTCGATTTTAAGCAGTAAAAACACATTTATTGGGCTCTTCTGAATATCCGATCGTGGGCTTTCGAAGGAACTGTTGCTATCTGATATGAGCCTTTCTGAATGGAGAAGGTTAACTAAGAAATTGCACAAAGAAAAACTTCTTCTCCTATAGGAAGTTTTGAAGTAATCATCGGAACCGCTCTTAGCTCATTCACATGGTCTTGCACCTAAGAGGGAGTCCTAGTAAGTATAATTTCGATATTCGCGGACGCTGGTTCGATTATTTGTCAGTGATGAAAAGTGAACACTTTTATTCAGTCATAAGTTAAAGAACTGAAAGAAGGATTAGTTTAACGGGAAAAATTCAATTACGAATGATCGAACCTCTTCTGGTTTGGAGGAAGACCCCTCGTTCTCCTCTTTAGGAGCGTCTGGAGCCGAGGTAGAGCCTTCTTCCGATTTCACCGTCGGAGTGCTACAAGGAATACATGATAACTTCGTTGAATTATGCACGACAGTCATTGGTTCCAAAATTGTATTATGATTCGAAATCGCTTTAAAAGAATTTTCAGAAACCAACCTTGGGGATGGTTGGTGAAAACTAGCATAAGTATTCAAAACTTGTGTGTTGAATTGCTGAGAAGCATTTTCGTACAAATCGAAGGCTATTTGATATGCGATGAGATCACCATTCTGTAATACGTGCAGAACACGAATGACAGGTCGTAAAATAGGATGAGTTCGATTACATTAAAACCTACCGCATGAGCCATGAGCCTATCGAGAAGTCTGCCAATATCCTCCGGTCGGTTCAATTTGATGAGGCACTAAAAAACGCTTTCGAAAAATATTAATTCTGTACTTCATCCTAAAGCATGATGGATGGTGTTGAAAAGGACATGCGAAATGTCATCACCATCAGCTGTGATACTATATTGCTATCGATATTGGTAGGCTCGAAAAGTTTGGTCACCGAAAGAAACACGAGTACTTCCACGATTGGAAATTGGAAAATCCATTGCACTTTCAAAAACCTCTACAAATTAACGCAAAGACCTCCTTATAAGTGAAATGTTGGTTTACAGACAGTTGGATTTCATGAATACTATAAAGTGTCAGAAAAGCTTCGGATAGCATTGCGAAGAATATCTTGAACTGTATGCAAATAAACTTGCTACCAGTGGAAAGTGATTATTTCACATTGTCCTACGTTTTTGAATCCGTTGAAAAACCGTCGAAAGAAACAAATTTGTTGAAAGAAACCGATTCTAAAGAGGATGTAAGGATACCTGGCATATAGCGACAAAATCAGCATGCTTATTGCTAGTGAATAATTTTACGAGGACGTCGAGTAACTGAGTGCGCAGCTGCACGTCCATTTTGGCACTAGTGACCTTCTGTATAGTTTCCAACAGCAAAACTAAAAACGGACATTACTTAAATATACCTGCCAGATTACAGAACAAAGAAAGGGAAATGGACTAATGTGTAGGAAAAATTAAAAGAACTACTGGAATGAACGTGCCATGTGATTCAGTGCTCTTTGTGATTGCTTTCTCAACCATATCGATGCGACGAGTATCTAGCGCGAGTCCAATAACATAGAGTAGCTCATTCTAAACAAAAATTGGAGAATGATTAAAAATGATCAAAATTTAACCTCGTGGAGAACGATTATGAGGGTGTGTTAAACTAGAAAGAACAGAAAGACGAAGACCAAAGAGCAATTGACAAACTATTACTTCACCTTTTCAAGATTTCTTTGGAAGATCCTGTTGATCAGCGCTTCCAAACGGTGGTCCATCTTTTCTGCCTTATTTTTGATCCGTTTGTAAGAATCAATAGCAATCTCGATAATTTTGTTGACGTACTTCAAAGAACTTGATTAATCTTGAAGAACAGCAGTCCTTTTGGGAAACCCATAGACAATGCAATAAAGCCAACAGATGTTCTGAATTCTAACCAACGATTTTTGCCCGACCATTAGGAACCAACTACTTCCCACCAATTTCAAGAGAGCTGATAACGTATGTCGCCAATTAAGTATAACTTGCTTTTTTTTGAGTCGCGAGGCGCTCTAAGCAGCCTTCCCCGAAAATAGGTTTTTTTTTTTCACGAAACCGCTGGTACTTTCGGTCACTTTTTGCTTTCCGTGATTGCTCTCGTTCAAAAGTGAAATTAAACCCATTCAATTGAAATTGGCAGTAGGCCCTAGAGCCTCAGCAAAAGCGCGTCGGAATTATAGCAGAGTTTGATAGAGGTTTATATCAAGTAGCCAAAAGTATACAGTAGCATTATCCTAATTTATGTAAAGTCAACAGTATAGGTGGTAAGAATTGCAGAAACCCATCAGGTAATCTTGTAGTAATAAACTGTAAACACAAACCTCATCATCCTTATCTCCAACAGTTTTAGATTTAGGCCTTGGAGTTAGTTTGAAATGAGTATCGGCAGCCAAAGCGAAGTTCAATGCATTTTCGTAGTCCTCCAAGCAAAATGCCACCTGAATATACTTAAGAGTAAGTGAAAAGAAGAATGTAAACTTACGTAATACAGCTAAAAGCGTACTTTTGACGCCAGCAACGCAGCCTTTTGCCTAGCTGGAAAGTCTTTGTTCTCGGAAAGTTCCTCAATAAAGCTGGCGCAATCCGCTACCTGGAATCAAAAGTTGGAAAATGTAGAAGAACTGAATTCGCAGCGAATAGGCTTATTACCTCAAACCAAGTATTGGTAAGAACATCCCAGTCGTCGAACAAATCGATCAGCATTTCTTTTTCTTTGGCTAGTGAACGAGGTGAACGCAGGGATTTCAGGAATGCGCCTAAATTTCCAGTAACCAGGAACAGATTGAAGTCTAACCTACTCCTTGAGAGGTACCTCTCGACATCCTTCATTTAAAGCCAGATCAGCATTTTTCCTAAGTGAACGACTACCAAAAGGAATTATAATCGAAAGAACTCACTAGCATCCACCGGGCCTCCAACGCGAGACTTCCAGTTATTTATAATAAACTGCATGTCTAAAAAAGGTTATGTTATACTGAAGAGCTTGTCTTTAAACTGATGAGTCGAACCTATCGCAGACCAAAAGAAATTGCAATGAATCAAGTAGAAGTCATCAAGGCAAGCAAATTTGATGATTTAAACTTACTGCGTAAATCATAAGATCTTTGGTGTGCAGGTCACTGCTGCCTTAGAATTTACGCCTAATTTTTACGACGTGAACTTTTCACTGGGAAGGAATGTTTGAAGCATCCATTGGCAATGGTAGCTCCAAAAATGTGAAGCATATGCTTCAAATACCCCCTCAGTACCGGCCACACAGTTTTTGTGTTCGGCAGCCCGTCCGAGCCATCCAGCTAGTAGCGTTCAGGGTTGTTTCGCACAGAATAGACACGGTGTCAAGGTTTTACTCACAAAAGTGTGAGCCTCCTGCCACCAGACAAGTGAGGGGGTCCACTTACCCCTTCTGGGTCACAATATGCTGTTTTAACAGACCATCTGAGTGAAACACCGTCCCGAATTCCGAACCTCATTGTTATTTTTCTTTCACTAAAGGCAAGGAGACAAATAGATGGAAGACTAAATGCTCGAGTTCAAGAAAAGAGAAGGTCAGAAACCTCAGTGCATGTTATTGTCAGTGAATATGAAGAGCAATAGAACGCTACCGCAGAAAAATGGTGAAAGCGGAATTGATGTATCACTTATAATCAACCAGTTGGGCTACGCACGCCAATGCGTGCACCACATGCCCACTACCACTTACCTACGACTTGTAACAACAATAAACGAATTGAACTTTCATTTCTTCATAATAAAGGAACTTTAAGCAAACCTTATCACTGCGCTTACCACTTCCCTCTTTCTTTACCACATAGATGAGTATAAGGGCATACAAACGATATTCAAAATGTGCCGATGTCTATGCCTTTTCGATCTGTTGCTGTTCATATTAAAAATATCATATACATGTATCAATATCATATATCAAAACATGTAGAAGCATTCAAATCCTTGAATGGTACTCACAAATGTTGTCGAGTCATACTAATATCATTATCAAATATCTTTATGAATGCAGCTCCTTTTCTCTAATTAAAAGAGAATCCAAGATTGTTAGCGGTCGGATATTCTTTGCCATGAATGATATCAAAGCAGAGTAAAACCATGATCCTTCATTGAATCGCATACTCCACTAGGTCGCGGTTGTGAGCAAGAAGTGAATTAAATTTCATAATCGGTCTCTATCAGTGCACTTAACCTTTTTGTCGAGTGAAGCATATCAAAGAATCAAAGCTAGATCGTAAATAATAAAGGCGCTCTAATTGGTGATTGGATCTTGTTCTCTAAGGCCTCTTCTATTGTCAGTGTTCCCACCCTGCCTCCTCTACTCCTATTGATTTTGCTCTCCAAGTGTACGGGATCAGGAGTTATGGATTTTCGCTCGGACATTTATTTTGCGCACACTCCGCCTCCTATGGGCGGGGTCCGGTCCTCCCACCTACCATAAGTGTCCCCATCCCACCGCCTATACTCCAGCCAAGTTTGAAGGCCCTAGGGCAAGACTAATAAATAATTTTGGCGCAAATCTCGCCCCCCCCCCCTTCCTAGACACGGTCCGGTTCTGCCACCCACCATATGTGTTCCCATCCTGCCGCCTGTGCTCCTTCCAAATTTGAACATTCTATGTCCTGGGGGACACGAGTTATGAATTTCCGTGCAACCAAACAAGCAAACAGACAGACAGACAGACAGACGCGAGCGCTTTATATATAGTAAGGATAGGAAGCGAAGAAGCGAATGAGTAGACCGGGCAAACTGGATTCTTATGAAAAGAGTAAAGTCCAAAGTGAGTTGATCTATTCTACAGGATTATACATACCTGTATGTTAGGATGGCAACTGAGTAATTGCGTATATTCAAGGAAAATAAATATGAAGATAAAGTCTTTGAGAATTACCCAGTCACGTCTAATCCTCATCTTTGGACATTTCCCCGGTGTCTGGACTTTTGCGAAGCAAAAATAAGATGTTTGACTGTTAGCACCGCCCATTGCAGCACTTGCCCCGCCCCTGGTGGGCGAAGCTCCGCACAGCTCGTATGTGCTCTATGTGCTTAGGGCGTGGGACGCTTTTCGGAAATGGTTTTTTGCATGGTGCAGGGGCATGAGCACTGAGTATAGAACTATGGTCCATTTCCGCCAAATAGCCTTCTGAATGTCAAAATATGAGCGAAAATGATTTTGTCAGAAATGACTGTTTTAACCCACTGAGCGTCGTCTGTTTCATTCATGCCGTCGACGCTCCGCTCAGTAGAAGGCGCCAGCGGGGGCGACATTGAAAACAACGTGAACGGTGCCAAAAAAGGGGGTCACACGTTGAATAAGTTGAAGAGTTCGGGGATGTTTCTTATGTGCTCTCCACGGTTAACCTGCTAACAGCGACGGATGGTATGATGGATAGCGATGTGGACTTCGAGCTTGGACCTGGTCGTATTCGATCCCCACGCATACTTGGGCCCAGCGCAACTGCACCGGACAATGCGCGCCTCAGCATCTCGTTCACTCCTACGACTGATACCTGTTAAGGTGAAATCAGTGGCCTGTATGTATGTATGTATGTACATTGACCTTTAACGTTATACTTACACAGAAACCTGTGTGGAACCGAATAACCAAAATAACCGAATATCAGTGGAGCATAAACGGCTACTGTGTTAGGATTCCGAGAGCAACTGCTCCGTTGTTTTGTATCTCTTCTACAGTTAGGAGGCAACGTGAGATCTACAAATCAAACAGCGTTGAGCTGCTCATAGGTTCCGGTCCCGACGATCCCGAGGTGTTTTGAGAGCGAATGACATCCGCAATTGATATTCGGTTCCACACAGGTTTCGGTGTAGGAGGTCGTATTGGCCCTGCGTTCACGTTTTTAGACGGTGCCATCTTTCGAGATGAACATAGTTTCATCGAGCGACTTCTCGGTCGTGCCTGAGGACGCGGCTATGGGCCTTAGAAGGCAGCACCTTGTTCGTCCTTCGGTGCATCTAACGCGGAACAGCTACGGTTCACCAAACCGGCTCTGTTAGGGCAGAGCTACACAGTACAGTTGTTCAGTACATAGTTGGCAACATTCTTCGGTATGGTGTCCATGGACAGGTTCCTGTGTGTTCGGCTGCGGACGTGGATTCAATCGAGGGAACCTTAGCCAGGTGTTGAGTTTTCGAGCTTGCGATCGAAGTTACGCCTGAACGAGCACGCGTGGACGTGGAATGGGTACCGGTACTCAGAAAATGATGACAGATCCGAGACATCCCTGCAGTATTCAATCGCACACATAAATAACGTTAAAGGTCAATGTACATACATACAGGCCACTGATTTTACCTTAACAGGTAACAGTCGTAGGAGTGACCGAGATGCTGAGGCGCACATTGTGCCTTGCAGTTTCGCTGGTACCAAGTATGCCTGGGGATCGAATACGACTAGGTAGTCGTACCCACCACCTCTCTGGCTCATTGCTTTGGCCCTGGTGCAATATGGAGCCAATTTGGAGATGACAGCATAAAATGCACAAACGGCAAAGAATCGGGGATCCGAACCATCACCCCAGCCTAGTCCTCCCAAGTCAATGTCCACATCGCTATCCACCGCAGCATCCGTCGCTGCCATCATATCAACCGGAGAGCACATATGAAAGTTCCTCGCACATTTCAACATTTTTCAACACGTGGCTCCCTTTTTTGCTACCGTTCACGTTATTTTCGATGAGCAGTCCACTGGCGTCTTCTACTGTGAGGGCAGTCGAAACCATGAATGAAACAAGCGACGCTTAGTGGGTTAAAAAGCAATTTTTGACCAAATCATTTTCACTCATTTTCTGGCATTCAGAAGGCCATTTAGCGGAAATGGACCATAGTTCTATGCTCAGTGCTCAAGCCCCTACACCATGCAAAAAACCATTTTCAAAAAGCGTCCCACGCCCTGGAAGACATTCCCTGCCAGTTCTCCTACTTTCATATCCATCACTACGTCGGAACCCATCGCCGGCAACGTATCGTCTTACAACAAGTAGAAATTCGCAGCTTCGCTCAATTATTTATGGGAAACACATAGACTTTTATGCGACCCCCAACTACTTATTCTTCTACTCTGTGATCGCAAATTCCGCGACAATTGGGCGCCATGGGTTGTGGAGTTACAACGTTTCGACATAGTCTTTGAATGGCCGCATTCATACTAGGTGCCGTGTACGGCGGTCGAGGGCCGTAGACGGCGGTCNCGCCGTCTACGGCCCTCGACCGCCGTCTACTGCACCACTCGGCTGCCGTCCACGGCAGCAGTCTTACGAAACCAATCGATGACAGCTCCCATTGATGACTCATCCTACGGGATGACTGTTTGAGATAATTGTGCTCCTTTTTCTCTTCGCTCGTAGCAGATTTGTGATTTTCATTTTGTATCACGTCCCGTGCTTACTACCGATGTTGCGTGCGCGTAATGGTCGCGTGAGCTCATTATTTTTCCACTCACCTTTTCATCCCTCTTATTTCAATAATTTGTTGTGGGAATTTTTCTATTTTATTTTTTCTATACTATTTTTTACTTCTATTTTTTTTTTGCTTTATATTCTAGCTAGTACTGACATCATTTGGTTCCGAAATAATGATTTTGTAAGTGTGAATAGTATACTATAGAATAGTAAGAATGAAAAAAGGCACGCATAACACACCAGTACTAACTAGAATATAGAGCAGGAAAATATAGAAATAAAAAATTCGAATAGAAAAATTGGAAAAAATGAAATAGAAAAATTTTCACAACAAAATGCTGAGATAAGAGGGATAAAAAAACAAATGGAAAAATAATGAGTCCTTGCGAACATCTCGCGCACGGTAGACCGGTCATCTATACGGGACGTGATACAAAATGAAAATCACATGCGGCCAATGTCATAAAGGATCGTCGGACGTAATCGCTAATCATCACATACTCGCTCCAAATCCCTCCAACTCTTTCGTGAAA